GTCTGAGGAGGTGGACTTGGCACAGGTATGAGGCGTTGGGTCTGTCGGTGTCTGAGGAGGTGGACTTGGCACAGGTATGAGGCATGGGGTCTCTTAGTGTCTGAAGAGGCTGGACCTGGCAGGTATGAGGCGCTGGGTCTGTTGGCGTACAGACGTGGGGCCAGCCACGGTAAGGCCTTCGGTTGAGTCCTGTGGCTCTGAGGTGTCCACGTGTAGTCTGCCCTGTTGGTCAGCCTGAACAGTTGCCAGCGCCTGGCCTGCTGTCTTGCTTCCCACAGGTGGGTTGGGCCCAGGCCCTCTGAGCTGCACCTGTAGAAGAGCATTGCTCTCAGGACAAGATTTGTGGCAGGAGGGAGGGGGGCGGGGTGTGCCAAACCCTTCCTCAGCACCTTTTCCTGTCTCTCCTAGTGGGTGGGAGGCCGCTACTCGCTGTGGTCAGCCATCGGACTCTCCATTGCCCTGCACGTGGGTGAGTGTGTGTTTCTGTCTTGGGAGACAGTGCTGCAGGTCATGGGTGGGGTCTCATGTCTCTGAATACCTTCCTGTCCCCGCGGCCGCTAGCCTCTCTGCCCTTGGCTAGAACATTTCTTTCAGGTCAGGAGGGAAGGGCTAAGTTCTCATGTGGTGGCCTTTCTCTGGACCCATTTTTCTGCAGTCTTGTTTGTTTCCTATGCCAGGCAGACTCAGAGCTGCCCCTGTGCTCAGGGCTGACTCTGACTAGAGAGGCTTTCTGCAGGCCCAAGCCCTCCCAGATCCTGTGTCTTCTGGCTCCCCATCCAGCCTTTCCCTGGTTCCAGAAGAAGCTGTGTCCACGGCCAGGAGGCACAGGGCACGACTGTATCTGTTGACGCTGCTTTTGTGTCGCAGGATTTGACAACTTCGAGCAGCTGCTCTCAGGGGCTCACTGGATGGTAAGTGCTGAGGCTTACGTTCTCTGCCAAGTGCCGGCCAGAGACATGTGGTTGGTCCAGCTCCTTCCCTCGCCCTCCCTCCTTCTCTCCCCCACCCACCCTGTTTTCATTTCAGGACCAGCACTTCCGCACAACGCCCCTGGAGAAGAATGCCCCCGTCCTGCTGGCTCTGCTGGGCATCTGGTATATCAACTTCTTCGGGTGTGAGACGCAGGCCTTGCTGCCGTATGACCAGTACATGCACCGCTTTGCTGCCTACTTCCAGCAGGTATCAGCCGGGCCAGTGGGGGTCCAGGGGGGTCCAGGTACCCAGGTTCCTGCTCTTCCAGGGGCTTTCTCCCCCATCACCTTTGGGCATGTCCAAGGCCCACCTGTGTTCCCCTCTTGGTGAATTTTTGTAACCAATGTCAGTGTTGGTGTCAGTTGAGCTTGGCTGCCATGGGACGGGGGTGACTGGTTATCATGGTGTCTCGGCCAGTCAGGCCCTGGCCTGGCTCAGGGCATGTGCCTCAGGTCACTTCTTTCTTGGACATCACTCGATAGGGTAGGGCCGTATGGCTTGCACTGCCTTTGTCTCTCCAGAAAAGCAAGTTCACACCCAGTCTGTGGTGCCTCTTTGGGCTACTCACAGCCCTCTGCCCTGGCATCTCCAGAGCCCCCTGGAGCAGCCCCTTTCTTAGTCCAGATTCTGCTGCAGGCAGCCCTCCCACATCTGTCCCTGCTTTTGTTTAGCACAGCCCTTGGGCAGGGACAGCAGATTCTCGCCAATACCTGAAGGTGAATTCTGTGATTGGAGGAGGGGCCGAGGACCCCCCAGTACCCAGAGTCTAGCTGAAGTGACAGCCCTCAGTGGCTGTACACTCTGGACCACAGCCTGCCTCTCCCTTAAGAAACCAGTTGAAGATTTTGTGAGCAATTTCTGCCATTAGGGAGGTCCTCTCTGGACTGCCGTACCCACCTTCTCCTGGTCGTGGGTCCTTTAGAGAGATCTAAGCCAGAAAGCTTGTGAGCTCTGCTCTCTCAGGTGAGGGGAGATAAAAAGGACCATGCCTGCAGACATCTCACAGGGCCAGGGCAGGGCAGGTGTGCCTGCTGCATCCCGGGCAGGTTTTGGGCTTGGTGCATGAAGGAACAAGACCTGCAGATCGAGGACTGGGTTTCTGGCCCTGTTCCAGGGTGACATGGAGTCCAATGGGAAGTACATCACCAAGTCCGGCACCCGTGTGGATCATCAAACGGGCCCCATTTTATGGGGGGAGCCAGGGACCAATGGCCAGCATGCCTTCTACCAGCTCATCCACCAAGGTAGGGCCCATCTGGCCTGGACAGGAGTGCTGGGGATGGGGAGGGCACGTCAGCAGAGACTCTGCCATGAGGTCAGCATTCTCCTGTAGGCCATATGGGTGGCTCCCATGGGCAGGGGTAGGCGCCTGGGTGACCACAGTGCCCTTCACAGGTACCAAGATGATACCCTGTGACTTCCTCATCCCGGTCCAGACCCAGCACCCTATTAGGAAGGGTTTGCATCACAAGGTAAGAGCCCTCATCCAGACGCTCTTCATACTTTCTTAGACTCACGTTACACCCAGACCTCTTAAGATAGATGCATTAGTTACCCTAGCTTTCTATTCCTGCCACCACAGACCCATTTCTTACCTCAGTTTCTGTGGGTCCAAAGTCCAGCAGGCTCTGTTGGGTCTCTGCTCAGGTTCTCACAGGCTGAAGTCAAAAGTGTCAGCAGGACTGTGTTCCTTTCTGGAGACTTTAGGGGGACAATCCTTTTTCCTTGTTCATTCAGATTGTTGGCAGAATTCATTTCCATGTGGCTGTAGGATTGAGGTCCAGTTTCCTTGCTGGCAGCTGGGGGTCATTCTCAGCTTCTAGAAGCCCCCCTGGCTCTTGGTCTCAGAACCAGCAAGGATGGGTAGAGTCCCTCTGAAGCTTCGGTTCTCTCCTGCCTCTTCTTCTGTTGCATCTCCGGCTGACTCTCTTGTCTTCCTCTTCTGTTACTTTTTTTCTTTTTCTTTTTTTTAATAATGGGGAGGTAGTTGGGTTTATTTATTTATTTATATTTGGAGGAGGTACTGGGGATTGAACCCAGGACCTCATGCATGCTAAGCATACGCTATACCCTCCCCCCAACCTTCTCTTACTTTTAAGGGCCATGTGATTACATTGGGCGCACCTGGATAATCTCCTTATCTTAAAGTCTGTAACCTTAACTCCCTCTGCAAAATCCCTTTTGCCGTGCACTGTAATATACACAGGCGTTAGCAGCAGAGGGCAAAGATCTTAGAGCCAAGATTTTGCCTACCACAGCAGCAAACAGGAAAGCCACCTAGCTCCTAACCTGATAAAGTCCTTGAAGAGGACTGACCGTGCCTTATCTCGGGTGTGCAGAGTAGCTTGAGTTACTGTGGGTACGAGGTTTGGACTCAGAGTGCCGGTTTTGAATTCTGATTCTTTCCCTCTGTACTTCTGGGATTCAGTGATGTTGACTTAACGAAACGGAGACTCACCTAGAAAAGAGAGGTAATGCCTCTGTCCCTCAGGATATTAAAAGATAAATGTCTGTAAAGTTCTTAACTGGGCCATCGGCAAATAGTGCATAGTCCTTAAGGGGTAGTTACCGTTGGTACCTGCTTTCCAGTGTCATCGGATGTGCCCTGTCCCACCTTGCTCCAAATAAGCCCTAGAGTGGAGGCAAGCAGCCTGCTCTAGACTGAGACTAACCTTCACTGGGAAGTGCCAGGCAATCTTGTCCCTCTGCCTGAAGCTCAGACGGTGCTTCAAACTCGTACTAAATGTTTCTCTTGTCAGATCCTCCTGGCCAACTTCCTGGCCCAGACGGAGGCCCTGATGAGGGGGAAGTCAACAGAGGAGGCCCGGAAGGAGCTCCAGGCTGCGGGAAAGAGTCCGGAGGACATTGAGAAGCTGTTGCCGCACAAGGTCAGCATTTCCCTTGAAGTGGGCTTTGGGTGGCGTCCTGGAGTTGGAAGGACGAGGTTGGGTGGCCGGGGTAGGGGTTTATGTGCCTGGCTTATCCTACAGAGTAGGAGGGGCTGTCCTCACAAACCTTTCTGTCCCAGCCTCTGGGCTAGGGTGTGCTTCCCTTCTGAGGATTTGGGGATCATGACTAACTGAGGGACATTCCTGGGTGTTTTCTGAAGGTGTTTGAAGGAAATCGCCCAACCAACTCTATTGTGTTCACCAAGCTCACGCCATTCATTCTTGGAGCCTTGATTGGTGAGTGAGTGGGGAAGGTCCCAGCTTGGGTAGGTTGGACTGGGCTGAGACAGCCCTAACGTGCACCATCTGCCACCTCTGCAGCCATGTACGAGCACAAGATCTTTGTTCAGGGCATCATCTGGGACATCAACAGCTTTGACCAGTGGGGGTGAGTTGTTGACTTATGAGCAGGGTGGGGGGTGCCTGAGAGTTGGCTTGTGGATTTCACTAGCAATGCTGGAACCTTCCTCACACCATTCTTTCTCCTCTTTCTGGCAGAGTGGAGCTGGGAAAGCAGCTGGCTAAGAAAATTGAGCCTGAGCTTGAAGGCAGCAGCCCAGTGACTTCTCATGATGCCTCCACCAATGGGCTGATCAACTTCATCAAGCAGGAGCGTGAGGCCAAAAGCCAATAAACTCATGCCCAGCTGCAGTCCTTGTTGTGACTAGTCCTTCTTGTCTCTCCTGCCCAGAGTCTGCACTGCATGGTCCCACCCAGAGCACCCTCTGGTTTCAGGCTTGGACCACAGCCCTTTGGGGAAGCTAGTCTGGAATTACCACCCCAGCCCTCTCCATGTCCACGCCCCTTCTGTTTTACAACTGGCTGACGTGTTTCAGTGCAGCTGCTTTTCCTGACCCATGTTCATTGTTCATATACCAGGCAGAAAAATAAAGATGCCACAAAGGAGGTTGGAGACTTAGCCTCTTTGTTCTGAGATGGGGCTCTCTGCAGGAGATGGGGTGCCTAGAAGGAAGAGCGGTGTGCACTGAGTCTTGAGCAGATCCAGAGTGGAGGGTGGTCTCTTGAGGAGGAAGTGGGTGAGGTGCTGCACAAAGTTAACGGGGCAACTTGGCCTCTATAATCAAATCTCTTCTCCATCTTCTTCCATTCCTCACCCCTGTGACCTTGGAGGGATTGTATACTTTTGTTCACTGGATAGTTTTTAAAACCACATTAAGATTGTCTCTTTTGGGTGAATTCTTGGCCTAGATCAAGGGTGACTAGTCACTCCTGGCCGGATGCTTGGGTAATTCTTTTTATAAAGTAGGCATTGAAAGAAAGGATTTTTGAACAAACTTATTTTTTCATTTTCTATTCAAGATATTAAATAATATTTCTTGCCACTTAAGTAGAAAAGGAATTTCATTTAAAGAGTCGATGGGCTGAACTGATGGGCAGGCTAGAGACTGAGCTTTCCAGACCTACACCGTAGACCATGATGCAGAAGGATCGGGACTGGGAAACTGCTGCCCTTTTCACAAGGCCCTGTTGCCCCCTCAACCCTGTCAGGGCTGCCTTTCACCCCGTCCTCTCCTGGGTCTCCTACTTTTGCATTGTACTCTGGCTTGATCACCTGCCTTCCTCAAGACAGGGAAAGACAGGATTTGTATTTTTTGCTCCTATAAAGAGAAGGCAAACTGCACCCACGAAGTCTCAAAGTAAGAAATGCCCTAATTGTAGAAAGTGACCGTCCAGGTGTAAATCTCTGCTTAAAGTAAATCATACTCAGAAATCATTGGCATTTCTCATCTTTCTGTTGGTGCAGTGAGGTTTTTTTTTTTTAATTTCAGAAGTGAATGCCCACTTCTCTCCTTACTTTTGTAGAGGTGATAGAAAGATGCTCTTTGACAGTCAAGCTCTGTTGAAGCCCTTGTTGACTCACCTCCTTTCTTTTTTGTTTTGTTTTAATTTGAATTTTTTTCATAGATTAGATACTTTTTTTATTGAAGTATAGTTATAATGTGTCAATTTCCAGTGTACAACATGTTTCAGTAATACATATATATGTATATTCATATTCTTTTTCATTATGTTACTACAAGATATTAAATATAGTTCCCTGTGCTATATAGTAGAAACTTGTTCTTTATCTAGTTTATGTATAGTAGTTAGTATCTGCAAATGTCAAACACCCAATTTATCCCTTCCCACCCCGTTTACCCCCTAGTAACCATAAGTTTGTTTTTTTAATTCCTCATATAAGTGATATTATATATT